CATGAGTTCAATAAACAGCAAAATTAATAACTTTGCAAAATGAGAGTGCAATGTCTGGTAGTCCACTTGTAGAGTGTTTTTTCAATATTTCCAGAGGTTTCTTTTATGTTGTGTCCTAACAGCTACTTCCAGTCACTCAGTTTCTCTCACAATGGTTAAGTTTGAAGTGCGAAAATACTGAAACCACGTTGCTCTCCTGCTGTGATCCAGGTCTATAGTAAGTCCTCTGGTGTGGTGGGTGTTCTGTTAAGAGTTGAATATTATATGTCACGACTACACTCTATTTGCATACTACATGTGAATTTCATAGATTTATGTCTTATCTACATATGCTTATACCATACACATGTCACAAGCTGTTTAATTCTGCTCGCGCCATTCTAGCATATCACACTACATCTTCTATAGTTATAATTACCTCCTTACATACCTTATTTGGCTACCCATCGTGTAGGCCGAGTAAATGAATCTGTTTGTTATCGTAGAGCACACTGTTAGGCCAGTTAACTTCAGTTATTGTAACAGTCATGATAAGTAGACAAAGTAAAGCGACATACAATATACCTAATGTTACTCCAATAAGTTATAAGCGCTTGGAATAAGTCAAAATTACGGATAAAGTAATCGAAGTAACGAATGTAGTAGTAGGAGCGACATCCACAGTAAGTTCAGTAGTAAGTCAACAAGTACTCTATACAGTAAATGGTGTGGGAAAACCTAAGGAAGTACTGTCTTTAATTACTAAACGACATACGAAATCCGTTTTCCTAGGAGTGAAATATCTTAAAAGCGCAAAATCAAGTTGTATTTTGGTACTGGACGGTAAGTAGCACTGATGCTTAACGCTGTAATGTCTCTGAAATGTTAGAACCAATATGATCAGTCCAAAGGCTTGTTAAGAAACGGCCTATTTTAACTAAGCTGACCTGTAAGTGCAAGTGTGGTAACAACACCAGCAGATAAATGTGGAATAACTGTCATTTACGAATCAATCGGTTTTCTCTGACAAACCAGGTTGCAATACATTCTTTAAAGCTGACATACAAGTTATTCCAGGAGAGCTTTCTCGCTCTAAATCATATCCCATACCTGCCAAATAGGTGAGCGAGGTAGACGAATATTTAAAATTGATGTTGTCTTGGTCATTGTTAAGTAAACTCCGAGTCCGTATTGCAAACCCATGGTTTGTATATGAAAAAAAGTGTGTTCGGTATGCCAATGTCTTGATGGTAGAAAGTTGAATGATATCACAGTAAAATCAAGAGACAGTTAACATCCTACTGAAGAGCTGCTGAGGCTTTACCATGGTGTGAAGTTTATAACAATCAAATATTTACCACCCCTACTTGTGTATTATCTGACAAGTGAACACAGTTTCCCGGATATGTCTGGTGGGAGGGGACACGTAGCATGAAAATAATACCCACTTCCTCAGCAGTTTGTCATCCCCAGGTAATCGATTTGAACGAAATATGCTTACTTTAGGGAGTGTGTTAAGGAACTCTTGACACACCTCAAAGCAAATTTGGCCCTAATCAGTTAAAAACGGTTGAATTAGTAGTGAATAAGACAGTTCACGAGTCCACAACATTGACCCATTGGGAAGTGATAATGGAGAAACCACTGACAACAGTGTAAGGGCGTTTGATTTGTGATCAGTAATTGTCTATACGACAACGTGCTAATTAACGACGAGCTTTGAGAAACTAAGGTACGTTGTGTCAAGTGAATGTTATTTGGGAGAAATGTTTAAAATTAATAGTAAAGTGAAAGGACTAACGAGTTATGAGAATGAAATGCCACAACCCAGTGACGACCCTTAATTTATATAATATGTATTTGATGCCCCAGGAAATGAGGACACACGCCGACTTAGAATTAAATATGATTGTATACAATTTGTATTGTGAGAAAAAAAAGTTTGAATGAAGTGAACGTCGACACACTGGAAGATGTGTTATATTGTGAAGAACATAGACTAAATGAAAAATATTCATCTACGTCCTAGCTCATCATAATGTGACAATCGCTAGTAGTGCCTGATGTATTTAATTTACCTACCCGCACCACACTGAAATAATAAAGTTAGGTACTTACTGTATCCAGTTCCTCACGAACATGGAGTAGAGGGACGATATAATGTGTATTAGGAAGGGAGCTATATTTGTATTTTTGCACTCTTTTGACTAATATCGCCATTGCATCAGTAGTTTTGATCTTCATGAGTAACCCTTGTTTGATGGCGCTAAGTAATTTTATTTGTTATTTTTCATTCAAGATCTGTATACTTTCCCTTGTGTTCATTGATGGCATTATATGAGTTGTATATAGTTGTGTTATGTTAAATAGGTGTGTAATAATGTTGTTTTGTGCACTAATTTCCAAAGTTGTTGGGCTAGAAGCTAATTTGGTTGTCTTTTCAGTATCTCTTGGTTCCACCCGCGACAGGTGAAAAGTCGGTGCAAAGGTTTACACCAGGGAAGTCTTCTTTAAAACAGCTAATGTTGCAGAGGATAATACAATGGACTAATTCTACCGAAATAGATAGTAAATGTGCCGTAACTGAGTTATATCCCAGTACGTAAAAGTTTAAAGCGGCATTTTGGAAAGCGAATATTTTGTGTTGTAAATGATTGTGTGAATGCTTAGGTGCTTCGTAACATATGAACACCGTAAATCACGAGTGCTTGTCTTGTAAAAAATTGAAAAGAGAACGTCAGTATAATGCGAACATACCAACATGTATATAACTAGTACACTTACGATACTCATGTATAAATTACCACACTAACTATTTTCTCTTCACTAAAGAAAACACCTGCACACAATTTCCCTGCACAGGTAGTGCAGGGCAATTAAACGAAAAATGGGCTTAACCCGGACAAAATTATTAACAAAACGAAACCTTTTGCAATGTGTTTGGCACCGTCCCCTCGTCATTGTCTGAAAATTCCTTAACTTTCCCACATCAGCAAAGTCCGTATCAAAGAAAAACCCCCGCCAAAACACGCTTATACTCAAAAATTTATAACTCCCTAACTAAAACTCGTAGAAAGGCCAAAATTGTGCCATTCTCTTCTATTTTAACGTTTATATATGTAAAAAATAAGGATCTGATGTTTAATCTGTTTGAATCATAACGTCCTTCAAGTCAATGAGGGAAATCTAACATTTCTCGTTCTTTTCTAAGTAATAAAACAATTTATAAAACATTCGTTGATATCATCACGAAGGGTATGACGTGCACATATGTTAACAGTTCCTGGAATTTTTAAGTCAGAGCGTCAAAAATACTGATAACAATTGCGATGTTACTACCCTTTCCAAGTCATCATACCTAACCATATCATGTGATATTATCGTTTCTAATATTCCTAGTGTCGTAACTTTACTAATGTTTTGATTCGGGCTTTTTGAGTCAAGGTAGCAATCTCTCCACTAAATAAGCAATTATTATTGAATTAAAAACTGTATTACCTTAGTGACCTGGCTGCCCATTGTGTAGTTTATTCTTTCTTCGCTAGAGGACGCCAAACATAGTTTTCTCGGCACTGTTCATTGACGTACATCACTTCACTTTCCTCAATACGTTTGTAAACATTATCTACTTTGATACGATTGTATTATTTAATTTTTAAATACCTTTAACAACTGCTCTTATATCTCCGTGATGGTGCAAATCACACATTCCATCACTGGCAGAAATGATTTACGATGACATCTGAAACAACAGTAGTTACCCGACCACGCACGTAATGTGACTGACGGAAGAAGCGACAATCACAGACCAACAATGAGACAAGCAAGTCGCGACGAGGGACTGAGCTATTGCCGTCTTATCCCTCAATCGCCTACCACCTGCATAACTTGTGTGTCTTCCTCCATCTCAGTTACGTATTGCCATACGCTGTAAATATACGAGTAGTTGATATCAAGTTATACTGCGTGAGATGTCTCCTGTTCATTAACCTGCAAATTTGTCACTGTGATTTCCCTTGTACTTGGGCCACGCACTAGAGCGCCAAAAATGTGAAACAATGTGTATAGTAACAAGAAACAGACGCGCAGAGCACAGCAAGTAAAACTGCAAAACCAAAATCCAGTTCCCAGAAATATACATGTAACAGTTACGTCTGCAGTAGGATCATTGCCCCCCTACTTACCAATGGTTTGCTATAATCGGCCATCTATTGTCGGACTTCCTCAAATTACAGCCACTGTTCTGACTAATTTAAGTTAGCGTGTTTTTAATAATTTAATAATATGAAATGTCATATATTAATAATATATTACAATATTAGTCAGCTGTTATTAACAAATCTCTCTTTTATATATATTATATATATATATATATATATATATATATATATATATATATATGGAAGGATTGTATTATTGATAGTATTATATAAAATTCTCGTTATTATAAGAAATTAAATTTAATGTGTTTTAAGTCATTCTTCTATGAAACTGTTTCTCTCTGCTATTATTTGTCGTGTAGTTACACTTCTCAATAACAAAAATATATAATAAAATGGGTGCGAATAAATTATTATAATATACTATTAGCGTATAAGAGAATACAACACTGAAATAATGTAGAAGATGTATTATTACAACTAATATAGCTGCCACGGTGGTTGAGCTGTTAGTCTGCTCGCCTTCCACCAAGGCGAACCGGGTTCAATCCCCGGCCGGGTTCTCCCGGATCCTCATATGTGGGAATCGTGCCAGACGAAGTCGCTCGTTGGCATGTTTTCTTGGGGATTCCCATTTACCCAGCCCTTTGATTCCTTTGTTGCTCCATACCACCTCAATCAGCCTCATCGACTCTCAAAACCCCGTTGTTAAGAGCCGCCCAAGAAATCTTCACTTGCCTTCTAATAAAATAATTTTTAAAACCACAGTATTATACTGGAAAACAGAACATTTACATTAAATCCAATAAGAAGAAATCAACTGTAAATACACGTATATGCGACATAAGTGCTTTCAAAATTGACCGCGTGGCTTAATGGATAAGCGCTGGCTTTCGGATCCGAAGATTGCCGGTTCGAGTCCTGTCGTGGTCGATATTATCTTGTTACTCTTATTGCACTCGTAGTTGTGGAATTAAAGCACCAAAAAACCAATTCAGATACATACGTTAAATTGTAGAATTATTTTGTTCGCTTGTTTTGAAGTCTGTGGTAAATCTTTGTTGGCTGTACATTTTCTTCTGTGTTAGTTTCCTAAGTCAGTGATCACAGATAGGATTGGTTTACTGTGGCAGACAGTATGCAATTGAAATGGTTTGTATTGAGTAAATGTAATTTTAACATATGCCTTTCTTTTTATACTAAATAATTGCATATTCATGGTCTTGGTAACGTTTTATTATGTGGTATGATGTGTTTGCATGTTTCATTCCGTTCCATGTTCACGGAATTAAAACTGCTTATCTGCAGCTGTCCCTCAGTAACAAACTGCTACTTCAAGTATCTAATTTTCGCACGTGTGCGTGTATATTATTTTGTTTCCCTTTATTATCTTTATTAATTTGATATTATTTTGATGTTTTAAATTACGGCATAAATATTATTACGATACACCTGGTGCGTGTGTCACTGGCTGTCATATATAAATAATGGTAGACAAAGTTATTCCAGTCGGTCAAACGATTTAACGTCTCTTTATCAGTAAGATTAGATTATTTTCAAAAGTTTATTGGGACTGTTGTGACCCATCTCCTGACTATGTCTATGAGAATGAGAGTAGCATATATCTTAGTGCGTGACCCCTAGAATACTCGTTTGAACCAGTTCACCTAATTGCACTAGGTCGTAATAATGTCAGCTTACTTCTGCATTTTTCTAACATGTAGGATTCTTGTTTTGTATAAATAATGGTTATTGGTATAATTTATGGCTATGCGATATTATAGGGATCACTGAACCGGCATGAATGAAATTAGACAGATCACACTTTAGCATTTAACTCAATAACCTATTTCCTTAACAGAACGACGTTTCGTGAAAGAAAAAAGACCATCTGAATAATTACAAGGTTTTTTAAAATATCCTAAGAAATACTCAACCAATTGTCGCCAAATTTTGTCTAGAAGAAATGCTGTCGTTGGGTTCCTGAAAATATAATTTTAATTGTACTGATTTTAATTTTACAATTGCATCGTTGGAAACATATTATGTTGGTTAGCACTGTCTACTAATCCTTTATCGTTACCTGAACTTAATTCGGTATGTTGCCAGCACTTGGATGTGCATTAAAATAAAGAATTCTGATCCTCATTTCTCCACTATTTTATACGACAGTACCACCTTGAATATACAGGTTGTATCACTCCTTTGTCAAGGCCTCCGGAAAGCATAATTCCATACAAATCACAAACTCGTAGTATTACCGTGTAGGAAATTAATATATTTTAAAGAATATGGCGCTTATTTCAAAAGTTCTACTTCATATATATGACACATATAATTTCCATTTGAACCTGGAATAGCATCTGACAGTTCTTATTCCGTGCACTAAATAAGCATATTGAAACTATAAATGACGTTAGTTGAAACTTGTATCTGAATCTGTTTCCACCGACTCCCACAATGTCTTGCATGCGGATATTTTTAATGAATTACATCTAAAAATTCACTGAATGAAGACTTATTGTCAAAATAGCAGTAATTATTGTACGGTCTTCGCCATAGGCCTATGAGTGGTAACATCTAACAGTTTTGATTCAAACTCGATGAGTTTAACTACATGCGTACATGAATGACTAAGTAACAGTCAAATATTCCTCCATTTTGTAAGGTAGTGCCACCAATAAAATAAATACTGCAAGAGCAAATCTTATACTTAGAACTATTTAATCGATTTCAATAAAATCCGGATGATAATTACCACCTCTGAGTAATTTTAACTTACAATATTCAACTACGTATGCATTTGCGCACTTGTTAAAATTATTTCATATGTATGTGGTTATATTGCCAACCAATTGCATTCAAATTGATGGCAACTGAAAATGATATTTGTTAATTTCTACTTGTGTTACAAATCTATTTTAGAATAAGAAATTTGTGTTTATGTCATTTTAACTTCGACACATAATTTATAGTTGAAAACAACTATCAGGTCTGTGGCAATGGTAGTTTCTACATTCAGCGACAATAAATACATATAAGGGGTAAAAGGAAGAAACTAAGCGAACTTTTCAATAGTGGCTAAGCAAATGTGAATCAAGTGAAATACCTAATAACCAACACAACTTACCCAAGCTATGAATACCAGGTAAGTTGTGTGACCTGGTTGTAATTGAGACTGCAGCACGATAGCATTTCATTGTTTTGGTGATACTTCTTAGTGATAGAGTCAGAGTGCTTGTACCACGGACTCCGCGTTCTGAATCACATTACACGAGTCTCGTCGCGAACACATAGCACATGCAAAACGTGATTGTTATCAACTGTGATGATACCAAGTTCTACGATTTCATACACCTACAAAATAATCGTGCTTTCTTTCCATAAAATAATTAGCAAACGAAATCCGCGGGGACAATGTTTTTCAACAAAAGTTTGCTACAAATATAACTCGGTAGCAAATCACTAAATTAAACAGTGTGAAATAAATATTTACGGAAACCATAATTGTCACCAAATACCTTTAGCATACCAATGTAGATCAAATATTCATATATAACACATTGCACATTATAGGAGCCCTATTTTATTACAGTCTTCTTTAATTTAAATATCAAATTTGTAGTTTTGTATTATTGTTCCCAAAACACAAATACATGTTTTTGGTGAAAGTTTTACCTTGTTATGTAAATGTCTATACTTCAAGCAGAGAGAGTCACCGCATTGCTCTTGAAGGTATAGAGTACATCGGATATAAGAAAAAGATGCATGACATTTCTTCTATTGTAACGCCATGACTTCGTGACGCCACAGAGCAGAGATAAAGTAGCAATAAGTTCAAATCCATTGTTATTGTCAAATCAACACTACTACCTATATTAGTCACCTAACTAGCACTTGAGTTACGCTGTACAATATTTGAAATATGTAGGTTTTACTGAAATTATTCATATGTTACCAGTGTACTAATTCACAAAGAGAACATACAATTTAGAAGTGGTAGGATGGCTGCTTCCAAGGTATAACAACAATTGCCCTTTACGATGACTGTACTTCCAAATATATGAATAAGATACTTATCAAATTAATATAAGGCCAATCAATTGAAAGAATCGCCGTTTTAAATCCCACAGTTATAAACTGTTTGGGGAAATATACTGAACTACTGTTAATTATCTTGAATGTTTAATCGATGGAGCTCTTGATATGCTTGCCAGTGTTTCCTTTATCTTTTCCTTCCGTACGTTTGTCGCACTCGGTAAACATCTTCAGGCAGGTGTGCTCCTTTAGACAGTTCAACGAACACCGTCCACCTTGTATACATTAAATGTAACGTCGATTTTACATAATAAAAACCTAATTCCAAAATATCTTATACAATCGCATGTCAAAACCAAGGTTTTGCCGATTTCGAAACCCAAAATATAAACAAATGAAATTGCTGATATGATAAATTTATGTCGTAACACAGTTCCGCGAGATACTTAAAGCGCTATATGTAAGACAGAAAGGAAAATTTACCTTTCTTAAATTGTGTCTAAAGAAAATATTTGCATGTTGTTCACTTTTGGCTGCCCGTGAGTTTCTACAAAATAAGTTTTTTTTAAGTACACCTTATAAACATATTAATGCAAAACCGTCCCACTTCATTTGTTTAATTTTGTGCTAATTCTACGGTTTACTTGATATTGAAAATATTATGCGTTTGTGATTTTGATATGTATTTATGTAGGGATATAGTTTTTAATTGGTTTCAGATGGCATCGCAATGAAGCCGGGGTTTCAGTATTAAAATATGTCCAATTTTGCTTTTTTGCACTCTTGAACTGCCTGAGAGACGTCAAATAAATGTTCTGGACTAGGAGGCAGCAAGGCAGATGGAGCGAATTTATGGTTCCCGATGTGTTAAATGCCTCCAAGTTACTTGCAAATGTAACATTCATAACGATTACAAATAAACACGACCCTTAAATATTTAATTAATAAGCGATTTTAAAAATACTAACTAACACATACTGATCTTAATAGGTGTTTTAATTTGCGCATTCCTTGGACATATCTTGCGCTCAGTGAAATTTGCACATTTACGACGTAAAAAACAGCTCAAGAATAATACATTACTTGGAAAAAACTTAATATGTTTACAAAGTTAGCAAAAACCGTTATCGCGCACTCTCTTGGTTATTCTATGAGAGCTTCCAAGAGCATGTTGACTTTTAATAACGTATTTAGTGTTTATTTATACCCACGGCGTGGTTAATGGCGGTTTTTTACCACGAGGAGGGGGTAGGTCAGTTGGCTTCAGCCTCCAGCATCCTTTAAATCCCACGTGAATCACAAGTAACTATTCTTAATATACGAGTGAGCTCCGCCACTGTACGTGCTGAGCAAGTACGTGGAATCAAACCCAGGATCTCCCAAACGAGAATCTTACGCCTATGCTGAAGGAGACACTCAAACGAATTTAAAAACATATGGTCAATTTCCTAATTGATCTAACACATGGCGTTCTAAGGTAAGGGATGGTCATCCATGACGTAAGAGGTCATGGAGTCAGCTTACGCTGCTAACTAATTTTTAATCCCTTATAATGCGTGGTCTTCGGTTCCATTATGCTTAAAAGACAAAAAATATTAATAATGTAATTATATATTATTCATGCATGGAATATATTCAGAATAGTGGGCGAGGACTTGGTAATTATCACATTTTCCCCTCAACACTTTTCCCTGAGTAAACTCGCTTGTGGAAGGCTTGCTGCAAAATGAGTAAAATCATGATCGATGCTGCACGCAGGCTATATCCAACACCTACATAGGCGTAGTCTTATCGTCAGTAATGATATTAACCACGGCTGACACAACGACATCCCATAACTGGCTGTAGGTATCTGTAAGTAGCCACCAAAATAGTGGAATGTTAATTCATGCTTA